GAGTCGGTTCCGACTGGAAACACCGCCGGTCCTGCATCCTCTGCACAGTGGGTCTGCAGTTTGGGCTCATTGTGGTGGCTGCTGGGTCAGTCCATCCTGCCAGGGCCTTCTCCGTTTCCCCTGCCCCTCTGCTCTACCAAGCGTGATGTCCTTCTCCGGGGACAGGTCTCTCCTGCCAGCGTGCCCAAGCACAGCTCATCCATTAAAAACAAGTGGGATTCTGATAGGTGCCCCAGCACGAGCAGACCCTGAAGACAGTCCGCTACGTGAAAGAAGTCGGATACGAAAGGCCACAGGTGGTAGGACTTCCCTCAGAGGGAGAGGTCCGGGGAAGGGTAGAGAGAGAGAGAGAATAGGCTAGTATCTGCCCGGGACTGGGGCAGGATGGGAAGGTAGGCTCCCTCCACTCTCACACTGGGCTGCAGCGATGGCTGCCCCGCCGCCGAACATTGACTAAAAATCACTGAATCACATAATGTGGGTGAATTTTATGGTATGCAAATGACACCGCAATAAAGTTGTTAAAATAAACCAGTTGTGACTAAGTAGATTTGATGTATGCTGCACATCACAGCTCCCTAATTGGAGTCTGATCTGAGGTGAATTCATGCATAGGAAGGGGCCCTGGCATGGTGTATTACTGGGGCGATCCGCCCCAGCAGCGGCACAAGTGGGGGGGGGCATTGGGCCAGCTGGACACCAAGGGCTCAGTACCTCTGGACCATGCCTCTGTCTCCCCAGGCCACTGGCTCCCTGCTGGGATAGGCTGTGTGGCCTACTGCACGGAGCCCCAAGGAGCCCTGGGTCCAGGGAGCTTCTTTCTCCTGATTTCCTCCCCAGGGGCCTGGAGAAGCCCTCCCCTGGCCAGCCCAAGCCCTCTGGGCACCCACCCCCATGCAGCCTCCGACTGCACACGGTTCTGCCACAGGCCACCCTGTCTGACCTGTCACCTGCATGTGGCAAGATGCCCGAAGAATCCAGGTGGGTGAGTGTGTGTGTGAGAGTGACGGTACATGTGTGTATAAGCACGCACACCGCTGGCCCAGCCCATAGGAGTGGCCTCGTACACTCCTGAGAAGCCACCGGCAAGCCACCGGAATGTATGGGCAAGGTCACCACAAGGCCACCACGGTGAGTCTGGGAGGTCATGGCTCAGAGGGCAGCTGGGGAATGCTTACTTGTGGCCACCCTGCCATCTTGCTGCTGCAGCTGGACGTGTAACGTGACGGCGGCTCCTTGGACCACGTCCATCACTTCCGGACCCAAAATCACGATCCTGGTGGCCTGGGCTGGCAGAGCAGGGCCGGCTTCAGTGGCTGGGGCAGCAGCAGTGAGCACCCAGCCGAGGTGTGGACAGGCACGCCTCTGCTGGCCCTGCCCCAAGACACAGTAAACAGGACAGGACCCTTCCTGCGGTGTGTGTGGGGGTGGTGCTCACTGCGGGCCTTGCAGAATAGTGGGGGGGGGGCTTTGGTGCCCCTGAAGAGCCCTCCACAGCACTGAGGCTGTCATGAAGGTGCGGGTGGGGAGACGCTCGCACAGAAGCAGCTCGGGGAGGGTCTGCCACAACGGGTGAGGAGGATTCATTTGGGAGCCGAGTGGGCTATCCCACAACGAGGCCTCCGAGGCCCACTGATGGCAGAGAGAGGCAGCGAGCAGAGCAGGGAGGCGTGTGGGCTCGCTGCGCCCGTGGAATGTTCCGGCATGTCTCCCTGCAGGCTGGGTTGGGCCCAGCATTCCCTGCAGCTGAGTCAGAGGCCTGGGAGGTGGTGCTGACTGGGAATGGCGGGAGGGGCCCCATTGACTGGTGCAGCCTGGTGGTCGGGGCGACATCAGGGCTGGTGTTTTTCAGCATTCCCACCCCCGGCTCTGCCCCGTACGCAGCCCAGGACCCCCCTCTGGCAAAGCACATGCAGAGGCCTTGGAAGCCTAGGTGGGGAGGGCATGCTTAGGGGCCGATGCTCTCTCCACTGAGGCCTGGAGAGAGGCCCGCCTGGGCGGCGAGTGACCGCTCTTTTCTGAGGCCCCAACTGGGGAAGGTGGGAGGGGGGCAGCAGGCCCGGCTGGCACCCACTGAGGGTGGCGTGAGGCCGTGTCCCACAGGCTGTATCCTGTGTCCCATGTCTGATGCCAGTCTTCCTCACCCAGGATCTCAATGAGGGCTGAGCACATCTTTGGATGCATTAGTGGTGGGACTGGGGTAGGACCTCACCTCCATTCCTGGCAGCACCATCTGGCATTGGGAATGGGAATAATCCAGGCCCCCTCTGAGGGACATCCTGGGGGCGGGGCATTGGGTCAGAACCCAGGCCCAGCCCCTACCCCTGCTCTCTGGCCCCTGGCCAAGACTAAAGGAGCAGGAGTTGGCATGGCTCGCCTGGGGTGTGCTTGTGGGTGCCCACGAGAACTCTAAATGCCGGGACGTCCCTCCCCTGACCCTTCATGCTTCGAGCCACTCCAGGTCCCCTGCCTTGGACCAAGACCTCAGCCACTCTTACCCCCACCGCCCGGTCTGGACCAGCAGGGGTGGGCGTCTGAGCTGAGGTTGGTGGTAGGTAATGTGTGGCCCCTGTGCTGGGGCCCCAAGACCCAAGTGTAGAGAGAGGCCCAGCTCGCTGCCTGGACCCCAGCCTCACAGGCACACAGGTGCAAGGACCTGTCCGGGCCCGGGACCTGAGCAATCACCACGCCCTGTCATAGGTTGCCCGGGGTTTGATGAGAAACCCTTTCCCTAGCCAGGTGGGCCACTGGGGTGGTCACCCTTGCCCTGGAGTCCAGCAAGGGGTCACTAGGAGCAGAGGAGAGAGAGTTTCAGCAGACTGACCCAAGGGCAGACCCCCGAGGTACCCCGAGGTAGCCTCCATCCCTCAAAGGCCCCCGACTGCCATGCCCGCATGGTGGCCGCTCTGACAGGGGACCAGAGTTGTCCAGCTTGAAGTTCGGAGTCACAGTGGGAGCCCAGGCCCTGGGGGCTTTGAAGTCCCCCACAGCAGGGGGCTCGGGCCACTGGGTCTGAGATCTGACCAGGAGCCTTCCCACCTTCAGGAGCTGCTTGGGAATCAGATTCTAACAGATTCTTTCTAAAAGGGGACGATGGCTTTTGGATCTCACCCCAGCCCAGAACCTCCCACTGGGCTTTTAGTGCCACACCTCAAGGGACTACTACGAGTGGCTGGACCGAGCATGGCCCCACAGTGAATCCGGTGATTGAGTGGGGCTGGGGGCCACCTACCCACTGGGTGGCCGTTGATCCACATTCCATTGTACATGAGCCCCGAGCGGTGGGTCAGGCGGCCCTCTCCACTGAACACGCCACGGTGCCACTGTCCCTGCAGAGAGAGAGCAGGTCCTCAGATGGGCTGAGCAGAGGCTGAGTGAGGTCCCCAGAGGGACCTTGTGACCTCCAGAGTGGCCTCAACGGCCCAGGGTCCCCTCCCAGCTCCAAGGCTCCGTAGGGTTGGGTGAGAACACTGCCAGGGCTCCCGGGAGCCCCGAGATGCCCCAGAAAGCCTCATTGTCTCTGGCCTGCCTGAACTTTCTCCCCACTACGAAGAAATCACTCTTGATTAGGATGTGATCAACTGGGCTTTGCAAAGCACGACCCCTTCTGAATGCGAATGAAGCCGGAAATGTTCCAACAATGGCTCAGCGAACAAAATGCAGGCCCGACCCTTGCTCGGCTCACAGGGGACTTCACAGCGAGCCCCTCTCAGGACAAAGAGATGGCGTGTGTGTTCAGGGCCACAAAAGCGGCCCGGAATTCCAAACCTTAGTGAGAGTGTGCGGCTGGAGGTAGCGGGCTCAGGGCTGTCACACATCAAGCCTCCAGTGAAAGGCACCGTTGGGCCCAGCACTCCTGAACAAATGCCGCTTCCCACGCCTGGCGAGGCCTCCCTCGCAACACGCCCGCTCACTGAGGCGGAGCACGTGCCAAGCGGGGCAGGAGCATTGGAAATAGCAGGAGCACCATTTTCAGGGGAAGTTCTAAGACTGGAGGGGCATTTTATTTGACAATGAATCACTGCAGCTAGAAGAATGAGCCAGAGGCACACTTTGATTCTATTCATTCCTGCCCATAAGGCTTGGGCTGCAGGCCCCCTTCCCCACCTCCACCCCTGCCCTTCTGGGGTACCTGCCTGTGTGGGCCCTGAGACCTTTGTTCAGCAGTCAGGGCCCCTCAGGGGTCCCCACTGAATGCAGTCTCCTGGTGTTTGCTTAAAAATGCAGCTCCCTGCCCGAGGGCCATGTGGCCCACCAGGAAGCCCATTGGGCAGGGTGTTGGTGGCTGGGCAGTGGGGAGCCCCAGAATAGCCATGTGGACCCACGAGGAATGCTTCCACTACACAACCTCAGGGGGAAGTGGATCTTGCTATAGACCAGTGGTTCTCAACCTTCCTAATGCTGTGAAACCCTTTCACACAGTTC